CCAGCCTCTATCTCCCGATGTTATCTTGAGCTTTGCAATGTTTGTGCTTTTTTGTTGAATGCACTGGAGACAAGTGATAAAGCAAGAATGTCTTCCTTCGTTAAAAAACCAGTTCTGAGCCCTCATGGCCAAAGTAGAAGGGTCTTGACATTCCCCCCCAGGGTTTTTTTTTTGTTTTTAAATCCACTTTTTAAGGCCAGTGTTAATCACTAGTTGGAGGAACCTGGTTCACGAGAGTTTGCAGCATCGGGGACTGCAGTTCTTCTTAGCTTTTCATTTCCAGCTTCAGCCTTTATCTGGGCTGTTGGAAGCTCCTTGGAGTAAAGGCTGTGTGTTTCTGCAGGGCAGAGCACAGCAGGGTCCTCCATCGGCTACCATAATCAATAGGAAGGCAGGGGCATGGGATGCCCCAGCCAGCCCTGCATACCGCTATGGTGACCCGGTCTGAGGGCTTCAGCTAATGCTAAAGCTGTAATTCGTGGTGCATCCCCGCTGCAGAGTGAATTAGAGAAGAGGTTTTTCAAAAGCAGAGCGTGCGTGAGGGGCTTGGTTCTTTGCTGCAAAAGAATCAAAAGCGACAAATCGCCAGCACAGCAGGGGCAGGCGCTGCCCGCAGCGGCCCAGCGAGAGCACAAGCTGTCTGGCTCCATCCAACCTCAGTGTATTTTTATAAACCCGGCAGAACCAGCCATTTCAAGGCTCATTGAAAACGATGTCCCAGGCAGACAGCCGAAAATTAAAAATAACCCGAACCCTCCCTGTACTAATCTTGTCCATCTACAAGAGTAAACAGGTTCTGCGTTCAGCTTCAAGCGCACGTGGTCGGGGCTGAGAGCGTCTCGCAGCCCAGATTTAGCCTCTTTTTTTTTGGCTGCAAGGGAAAAATGGAAGCTATTTCCATTCAAACTCTCGATCAACAACAGCCCGAACAATAATGCAGCCCAGGCGCTGTACAGCCACGATGGGCAGAGGCCACAAACCTTCAGGGAGGGAAAAGCACATCTGTGGGTAGCTAAATAGGAAAGGGAATCTGTACGTAGAACAGCTGCAGCTTGGCTAGAGCGGCTGATCGTTTTGGGTCCCGAGGCAGGCACTTGGATGGTGAGGTGGGGCGTGTGTGTGTGAGAGAGAGAACAATGCCTAGCAGCGGATCCAGGCTCATGCATGGAAATACCGAGGTGCAAATCCAGTACAAATAACCAGGCCAAGCATGGGTCACCGGATGGGGAACATGAAGTTCTGTATCTCACTAGTCTTCAGCGTTTGCCGTCATTGTTACTGTGGATTTAGTTCTGCAATGGCTTTAGGGGTATTCCTACCAGAAAGCTTCTACTCAGGATGCAGAGGAAGGGGAGATACCAAACAGGATTGATCCCCCAACTCCTTCCACATGCCTTTTTAAAGGCATTAGTTAGGAAAAAAAAAAAATGTTAATTGCTAAAACTAAATGAGTGAGCACTGGCCAGGAGCAGGTCTGAGAGAATGCCATGGGAGGAGGCTGCAGGGTGCATTGGGAATGCCTTATCTGAGACAGATTTACATTTTACTCTGCTTTGACTTTCACTAAAAATGGTGAGACAGTCAGCTTCACTCCCTCTGAATCGCCTCTCAAGCCGTCTTCCCGGGCTGCTTATGCCGGTTTCCCCGTCAAGCCAAGCCTCTCTCGGTTTGCTATCTAGTACCACGTAAACCAGTACAGCCTGCTTTAGGATCGGCGGCTAAACTGGCACCCCCCTGAGCTAGCCTGGGTGAGAAGGGTGCATGGAGACCCAACCAGACTGAAAACAAGACCTGTCAAAGGGCGGATGAGCTCCCTGCGAGCCAACAGCCAGCTGCACCTGGAGAGGAGATGGATGCCACCAGGTCACTTTGCCCGAAGAATTACCAATGATGCAAAATTCAACTAACCTCCTAAGGAAGGTTGTTACGGTGTCTAAAGTGCCCCAGTGGTCGCAGCAGCCTCGGGGCCGACTTGACTTAACTATCCTTGCTCAGCCCCCGACATTCAACAGGCCTTTGTCATGTCATTTATTTCCTCCTTGAAGCTCCCCTTTTGCTCTGATGCTTACAAGGAAC